ATCAAAAATGAAGATATCAGGTTGAAAGTGGGAGTATCATTTTAATTTTTTCAATCTTAATTTACAATGTTTTCAAAATCAAAGTGTGATAGTGTTTAGAATATATAGTATGTTTTGTTGGAACTGAGATTAATGTGTGTTGCTAAATCAGTCAGTTGTTGAGTATTAATTGTATCCTCTTTAAAGACTGTCCTTCTACGATAACGGTATAATTTCAAATCAGAAAAAAGATAAATTTAAAAAAAAACATGAAAGGAACTGGCAATGCTCACAGAAATGTCTGTGCTGGGTAACAGGATTTGTCACACAGTTTTGAGCCCTCACACCGTCCGGCTCTCTGACACCCACAGGGACACGGTGCCGCTCAGCGATTGGGTCTTTAGGGAGGACGGTGATTAGGGGCTAGAACAAAAACCCACAAAGCTGCTCAAGTTCTTGTTTGTTAGGAAGTTACCTATGTGGCTATAACACCCTTGTAGAAACATTTTTATTTATGAAACGGCATTATAAAAGTGTTTTGTTTTTCCCCTGCATTAGTCACCAGTAAAAGGGTACTTAAATCAGAGGTCTCCGTGGCTCCACCTGGGCATCTATATTCTGTCTAATCAGGTCAGGATGGGCCCTGTTGTGTTGCAAGGCAGACGATCAACTCTGAAAACACAGAAAATGTGTGTCTGTGAGGCAGACAGTGTGAATGGTAAACTGCAGAGTAAATGACACTTATTATTTGTTTGTTATTTGGTGGGAAATTGCGCTGCTGCTATCACTTGGTGCTCTCTCTGTTTGTGTCGGTTCTGGTCGAACACATTTTGGATTTTCCCCAGATCTATTTGGATTGGGTCTGACTCTCCTTGTTTCCCTGTTGGTTTGGGACTTTTACCCCATGTAGGGGTGAGGTTGCTTTGCAAGTGTTTCAGAGCAGGTCAAAAATATGTTTAAACCAATGAAGACAAGCTTTGCAATGATTAGTTGATTGATGTTCAACTAAGAACATTTTACAGCTATTTTTAGTTTTCCAAAAACACTTCAAACACTCCTAATTTGCAATGACTTGATTTGCTGCTTTTTTTTGTTAAGGTCCGTGGACCATTTGAAGGTCTTACTCTGGCATTTAAGAAACTAATGGGCCTATTTTAGGATGAACATTCAAACTGAGAAAATAATCTTCAGAATAATTAATAATACAAAATATACTGGTTTCAGCCACCACGATGCTTACATCATTTAATACCATTCCTTTAAGTTATAACTTCCACTTGCCTGAGTACTCCACTCCTAAGTCATATACTGGCAGCCTTAATTTAAATACAATATTTCTATTGATACATTACAGTTAAGAAAATATAATGAATACTTTGCTTTCTTCCCATGTATACATTTAAAGTAGTTGTCATGGTCTCAGCATGACTTAACTACATCATTGTCAGCTAATATTTGTATGAGATTCATATTGCAGAGGAGGTAATGAACTGATATCAGAGATGACTAGTGGTATTTTGAATATTAGCGGACAGTGTATGAGTAGCATGCAATGGACCATCGTAGGTCAGAGGACGTGTTTAAAGCCTCCTGGTTTTCTGATGACTCTCTGATCCAGCTTGTCCACATGTCCCTCTGTCCATAGCCTTTAGAGTAAGCCAAGTGCCACTGTAATATTCTCTGAGACAAAACATTTCATCTTTTTTGAGAGAAGGAGTGCTTTCAGGCTTGGCAGGAGCTTTTCCAGGAGGGCTGTTTGTTTGGCTCGGCCCATCATTTCATCAGATCTCCCATCCTTTATGTAGCCTCGAAATTCATCTGAATACTTCATGTCAATTAATTTATCATGAGGGTGGAGAGCAGCATGGCCTCAGGGCTGCCTCTGTATGTCTGGTGTCATTGCAGTGTGCTTTTAAGGGGAACATAAAGGATTTTATAAAAATGGATTAAAGATACTTCAGCCCACAGCTTTACTCTCTCCTTCTCTGACAATGGCAGACTCTCAGCGCAAGGTATTTTTTAAGAAAACTTTCAAACTCTTTAGTGTAATTTTAAATCTCCATTTAGCACCACATCAAAATCATCCAATGACTTTGCTGTGACAGCCTCCTGCGACAGACTGCTGCAGACTTGTGTGTTGGATGAATGCAAGGACGTGCAGAAGATAAAGTGGTTTTGCCCACAGAGGATTGAGCCACACTTGAGGATTGAGCCCTGTTTCCCGCTCGCCTGCCTGTCCTCAGATACCAGCAGAGCTGTGTCTCTCAGGTTTTACCAGTCTGTTTCTTCTCTCTCTTCAACTCTGACCCTGAATCAACATTTTTGAAACGTCTCCAGGATATGATGTGCAAACTATGTGCAATATATACTTTATATACATATGCCATCTTTAATAACTGTAATATATATACCGGGCTGCTAAATCCTAAGAACTGCTACAGGATTTGATTTGTAGATTTGATTTGTTTTTGATCTGTATTTTTGAAAATTATGTAACTTTTAGTTTTTATCTTTTTTTAGCATATTGTTTATTGTATTATAACTTAGTACTTTTTTAGCATATTGTTGTGTTGTTTGTTTATTATATTGTAACTTAGTACTTTTTTAACGCATTTCAGATATGCAACACTAAGCTGTCTGTGGCTCTTTCCTGCTGTAACGCTGCAAATTTCCCCTCTGTGGGACTAATAAAAGTATTCTGATCCTGATTCTGATTCTGATAAAGATCTAGCTCTCAAAAGCTGTTTTTTTCAAATATCTAAAGCACTATAGACAATAGACATACAAAAATGAAGACAAATAAATGTTAGGTCATGTCAAATGATAAAGAAGACTGTTTTGATAATTTACCTTACATAATTTGGTTGTAGCTTCACATTGCAAGGATTGGAGGAGTGTTTGGTTTGCCTCTAGGAAAATTGTGACCAACAGTTCCAGCGGTTTTCTGACCACATTTTCATACATACTTGGACCTGCATATCTGAAATTAAAATGGATATCTAAACACAGTTTGAACTTAAAATGACACACTTTATTAATTAGTTCCTGGTGGTACCTGATATTTGCACAATATTAAACCTCGGTATCTTTTCACCTCCTGAATAATACAATGTAGCATGTTGTCATGTTTTTGACCCCTGAGCTGTAATCTGCAGTTCTCCCTCGGTGTGTGTGTGTGTGTGTGTGTGTGTGTGTGTGTGTGTGTGTGTGTGTGTGTGTGTGTGTGTGTGTGTGTGTGTGTGTGTGGTATGACGGAGGGGGTAGGGAATAGGTGGATGTATATATGACCTGGAATAGATTGAGAATAATTGATCGAGAATATGACCCCTCACTTGATGTGTTCCTCTGCCTCACAACAGGAGCTGTTTTACCCTCAGAGTAACTGCTGTATTTACATTTACAACATTTACTATTTAGAGATACTTGCACTTTGTACCTGTTCATGCTAAAGAGCGTTTCAGTTTAACAAATGTTTTTAAATAAATAAATACAAAATAAGTCTAAGCTATTGAAATATGATGCATTTCTGTCTATTAAACTAGCAAACATCATATGCCAATGTCACCCATCATATAATAATATGGCTGTTATGTGTTTTTCAATCTTAACTTTAGTATATTTATTTGATATTTTATGCACATATTTCCGTGCATAAAAGAGTTAAGTGTTACGTTTATATTTTTGAGCTTCTTTATATTTTTAAAAGAAAGTATTGCTTTATATTTCTAAAATGGTCAAACAGGTATTTAGCATTTTAGTGGTACTCTTACAAAAAGCTTAAACGATTTTCCCATTGGATTATTGCAGATACTAAGCTCTGTTGGAAGCAGATGTCTATAATAAATTGTTTGGTTCAGCAAAAATAATCTTTACAATTGAACACAACATTTGTTGAGGCATAAATACAATTGGCTGTAGGAAAACGCTAACGGTAGGCTAAACAAGCTACACCACAGCCACATGACTTCTCCTCACCTCCACTGTAAAGGAGTTTCATCGTGTTCAGCGTGATGACGTTTAATAATGTGGAGAATTTACTGCTGTTGAAAAACTTTAATTAAAAATCTCTTTAAGCTTTTGTTAACACCAACCTTATTTCCAACCAAAACCACATTATCTTCTGAATGAGCAGGTGCAAAAATGCTATCTAATTTTCACTTATAGGACTCATTCCTGCAGCATTCTGGGGAGCTATCCATTTATATTTTTCTCTTTAACAGTCATAAATCTAGTTACTTATGTTCCTGTGCAGTTTGGCGGTCTGATCCTAGTTGATTTAATTTTAGCTTAACATTTGTCAGAGCGCTCTTCAGGTTGTCAGAGTACCGCTCTCCATCATACCCATGACTCAGGGTTTACTCTCAGAACACCTGTTTCATTTGATTAAGGGCTACACGGTTTACTGTTAATTGGATCAGGTGTTTGTAAAGCACGACATCAGAGTACTCTCCTCTCTACGGCTCTGCGTTAGTCCAGACATCCTCTGTGGCTGTCAAGCTGCCGTACAGAGTTTGCTTTCCCTCACCCCAGGAGAATTAAATCCAGTTTTAATCTGCTCATATCATCAAACCGCAACGTGATGCATCCGGTCTGAGCTGATTAGCTTGACGGGGATTTCACATTGCAACGTGAAGACGGCCGAAATGAATGGTGGGACATTGATTTCTGTGATCCGCTGTGACGGCAGGAAGCTGATGAGCAGTCAGTCATCGTTTCTCATTAAAATGAGAATATGATAAAATGGATATCCTGTCAGAAGCTTCTTTACTTTGATGTTAATTATAATTAATTATGTTTGGCTTATTGGCTTATTGCCATTAATATCCTGGTTATCAGTTACGCAGCCACATGATTAGTTTTATTGAGCCTAATTAAGTACTTTCATGGTGCTGGTAATTTTCTAGATTTGTGTCTGATGATCTGAGCAGGGTTTTACCTCCAGACACTGTAACATAAAGGTTGAGGCTCCACAAACCCCAGAATAGACATAAGAAAAATGGCAGGTACTTTCACAGCCTCTTAACTTTCACATTTGTTGTTAAAATGTCAGTTCTCAGGAGTGATTGCACAGTGAATGTTAAAGGTGATGGAGATGATAACCCTCACAAAGACTCGATGCAGTGAGGACAGGAGGCAACAGTCTTGATTCGCTAGATGCCCTGCCTGTTACAGCGTTTGTTTGTTGTCTCTAAGTGCAGAATTTACTTTTTGGTTGGTGCAATATGTCAGTTTGTTGTTGTTTTTTTGCCGAGTGACGCAGTGTTGCAAACTTTGTTGCTAAAGAAGTAACTTTTATACTCCTGCAATTTTATTTCTTAGAACAAAACACAATTTGACAACCAAAGCATTTATACTTTACATGTTTGTACAATTGTGGTGCCTTCAATATGAAAGCATCATGCATCATATCTCTGTGTTTTTGTGATCTGTTTTGCATTTGGTGTAAAATACAACCGAAAGCCAACATGAAAAGCATGAAAAGCAGTGACATGAGAGATAGTCTTATAAGTGCAATCATGATGCATGCAAAAGAAGCATGCTGTAAAGATATTGCATGGGCTATTCTAGGATATTCAAAAACTGGACATACTGTATAACTGGATTCTCTCACTGCAATAATAGCAACACATATTTAACAGCAGGCCACCATTATCATTTAAACGACAGTTTAGCAAGAAACAGCCTTGACTATTCCCTTCTTCTTCTTTCGTGTAACGTCAGAGGTCCAACTCAGTGTCGTGTAGCCATGCCGGATGCGGGAGGGCCCGGCTAGCTCCCACTCCTGCCTCCAAGCAGCCGCCAACCATGCATCTCTGGAGAGGTCCTCAGAGGTGGAATTGAGAATCTCTTGTGCTGCCTTGTTGAAGGGGAGGCGGGACTTGAGCCTACTTAGGGGCGCTGCTCTCGTTGTCGTGTTATGCAGGATGTACCAGTCATGCTTTTTGGGCTTTCCTGGCCAGGGCGAGGGTGGCAGCCTCCCGTCGGAAGCCGGCTGGAGCTATTCCCGCGAGGACTGGCAAGAGGGACACAGGCTATTCCCTGTTGATGGATGTTAGCTTTTATTTGCAGATATTTTTGGCTACTGACAGAGGGAATAACACTGCTGTAAATAAACATTTTCTGACTTCCTTATGTTGTCCTTATGTGTCCTAGTTATTCATGACAGAGAGCCAGCACACACCCATTAGCAGCACACTGGAACTGGCACATTTAAATGGAAGGTAGCCATCATTATTGTTGTTGATCGCCAAATGTGCAGCTCCATAGGGATTTTCTCGTTATACAGCCGGCCGCACTGCATTAATTAGGCTGATGTCAAGTTAGGTGGGACCAAGCTAAATGCTTTCAGTCAATAATAATAACAAGCCAGGCTAATAGATTTGTATTCTCAGAAAATGATCAACTCAATTATTGTGAATAAATATTGACCACAGTTTGTTGTTCTATTCCCAAAATCTCTAGCAATTGGGATTAATTATAAAAACCATTTCAATTTTTGTTTAGACTCCAAAAATCTTCAATCACATGTTTATTCTATCTTTATCCTTACCAACATGGAACAGGATCTTGAGTTCAAAGAGCAACACCTCTCTTACCTTGTTAGTATTGCAGAAAAGGTGAAAAAAAAGTCACAAACACATTTGCAATACGTTTGTCAGTGTTGCACACAGGAAGGCTAAACGTATAACTCCGGATACATCAATTTGACTACACTTGGTTTGAGCTGTCTCTATCTGGCCATTGGTTTAGGGTCCCTAGGGCTGCTGGAATATACATAAGAAGTATTTTATTCCCTTTGCCATACATTAAACACAGAATCGCTGCACTTGTTATTGAATTAGATGTGCGCTCTTTAATATTTATATCATTCATTAGCTGCTGCCTGCCCGTTTGCTCAATTATGTATTATGTACTTCGCTTTGTATGTTTTTAATGATGTTTATGTGCAATATATGTACATTCGCTGTACTTGGGAAATGCGAAAGACACATTTCCACTCTGATGGACAATGAAGTCAATCTGTCTTATCTTGTTCTAGCCGCTGCCATTCTGCCATCTAACTGACAACTAAATCTGCTCCTTTGGCTGGCTGCAATTGTCTATTGTTAATTGTAGCTTCACAAATCTTTTTTGAAACAATAATGACTATTGTTTGTATGCAAATGTTCAGTAATTCCAACCAAACCCAGTGGGAACAATGCTTCATATAGACAGTGCTGACCTATTTGGTTATTTCCTTTGCTTGGACAAAGAGCAGGGCCTCCTCCCAGCACACATTTTGCTCGTTAACGTCGGGATATAATTGACTTGCAATGGGAACGGCTCATTGCCTACATTGACATTATGCAAACTCTATTCGCTGTGTAATGTTAGTCCCAGCAGTGAGTCTCCGATTCTTCAAAGAGAGCATGATGGCTAATTGGACTGCTAGCGGTTAGCAAATCTTCAGCTTCATTTGCACCAATAGGCTCATTACACCAGGAGAACATCAATGACCTCAAGGATACTGAAAAAACAATCCCATACACATATTGGGGGTATGTTTCCCCTATTTATAGCCTAATAATCCATCATTTTGCACTCGGCGGGAGAGGGACTTTCCTAAAGTGTCAAACCAGTCAACGGTTTGCTCTCAAACAGATGAAGAAGATGAGATACTTCTAATGATGGGTACAGATGCTTTAGCCTTTTGGCTTTGATCAATGTACTAATACAAGGGTCAAAGATTTCCTAAGGATAACTACAAATGCATTTTTCATCATTCTTGTCTCAATTAAATCATAAAGCAGCACGTGTAAATATTTGAATAACATTTGTAATGTTTTATCCTGAAAAATGATACCATCCAAAAATATGACCTATAGGTAGTAGATTTGTAAATGCTGTAAATAATAATGAATAAAGCAAATCTAATGGGAGTTTATTGACAAGATTTGAGAGAGCACAAGACAACATCTGAGCCCTACGTTTCAGACTCAAACCGTTTCTCGTTACAAAAATGGTAGATTTATCTGCATGCTAATATTTGACCAAATGAGAATCTTTTTGGTTTTGATATGAAATGTAACTTTGTTATTATGCAGTTCTGAAACTTTAGGCATAAAAGCAGCGTTTATTAGTGAGTCATTTTCTAAAGAAATTTGACCTCCGGTGCTTGGCACACTGCGTCGAAACATGAAGTAATACGTGCAAAAGCTGTTTTTCTGCCTGAGGTCTGGTTTTAGTAAAGGTTTTCAGATATCTGCTTGTAAAGCTTCCGCCACAACCCAAATAAAGGGAGATAAATACAAGTTGTAGTGCTCAGGGCATTACAAATAAAGTGACTTTTTAACATTCTCCCAGTAATGCAGGGTTATCCAAGAAGTCAGCCGTAAACAGTTTTTAGTTCTTGGATATAATGAGCAAAGTAAAAATGTTATGTTATGCACATTGAATCAAATGTGTATTGTCTGAGAGAAACTTGGACATTGTTTATGAATGAATGAAAAGTCAATTTTCGCGATGATGAGATCGTACCTACGTTTCAGTGGCAGAAAACTTCCACACATGAAACTGTTATCAAGTAAACTAGAGGTAAAAGTCGATATTTTACTTTGGCGTGTGAACTAACCGTTTAAGAGAAGTGTGAATATAGATGGATAGAGTTTAAAATGTAGGGAGAATGACAGTCTGTTCGCGTATCTCTATATTCAGAGCACCTGAGAACTCCACAGAGAAACATGGGGTCCATGCAAAGTGTCACATGCAGCAGATCTATGCCTCTTCAAAATCAAGCGTGTAACACTGTTGTTCACTATTCACTGTTTATCACTGTGCAATAAAGCTGAGAGACAAATGAAGAGTTCGTGCAGAGGAGGGATTTATTCACCTTCTTGAAAAAAGTAGTGGCATGTGCTGTTAGAAAATGATTTATAGCACAGCTTTTAAACAAAGTAGGTGCCCTCCAAAATGTTCTGTTGTAATTTTACTCTATTGTTTTCATTTCTTTTTCATCAATCTATTATTTATGACAAAAGTTTCTTTAAAAGAAATCAGCAACCCGAGGTTATTTTGCTCATGGGACAATGAAAACACAAACTAATGAAAAACAACACTACTGAATGCAAAAAAGGATAAGCAAAGTATTAATAAAACATTTTTTGGGAAAGTACAATATTGTATTATAATGCTGAATATTATTGTATTGCATCTTAAGGTATCCAACATGTGAAACATTTCTATATGACTGATATCTGAGTTAAAGACTACAAACATCAAAAAAAAATCTGCAGACATAAATGGATGCAATTATTCATGGATATATGAAATCAGATGTTCATACAGCACATTGCTCGTGCATTAGCATGTGGTTTGATATTCTTTGATAGTGTAGTGGTGGTGACGTTTGTACCATTTGTACATACAATAGTTATAAATGGTTAAAACACTACCTTACTGACACTATACTAAACACACATATGAGTGCTGTAAACAGAAGCAGCTTTCACCAAATACACCTCCTGCTCTTCTTCTACAGAGTGAGGCCTTCTTTTGAAACCATGGTTCTATCTTGACATGGGGACATACCTACCTGGATATATTCTGAAGTGTTCCTAAAATGAATACAAAACTTAAGCATGTGTAACTTTTTAATGTTTCTTTGCTGTGTTTTTTAAAGGGAGCAGCCCATCTTCAGCGCCCGAGCTCATGTCTTCCAGATTGACCCGGCCACTAAACGCAACTGGCTGCCGGCCAGCAAACACGCCGTCACCGTGTCCTTCTTCTACGATGCCAGCCGCACCGTCTACCGCATCATCAGCGTGGGCGGGACCAAGGTGGGAGCCTCACAATAACTGCACTGATACACATGAATAAACTCTACTTCCTATGTGCATATCACACATAAGGGTATTTGGTGTTATAATATTCTTCTGCTTCGATTGTTTCAAGAGGATAAATGGTAAAAACCAATAAATCATTATTTAAAATTGGTTTGTTCAAAAGTTTTTACCAGCATAGATTGTTTCTAAAATGGTCTTTCTAACTAAATAGATTATTGTATTTCTGTCAAATTAAGCCAGCACGAGAGGCAGTGGGACTGCTCTAACAATCAAATCAAGCGTTTATTGAGCCCTTTACTTCTGCAGTAACACACTGAACTCAGCAGGGAATGAACAGTATTTTCTTTATGTTGCATTAATATTACATCATTGTAGGGTTTCTTCTCATTTTATGTTGTCTCCCTCTGTGCACCCTATCCTGTGTTTGTTTTTTTAAATAAAGGGAAAGAAATCTGTTTTCCATTAGGTTTAGGCCGTTATGGGTGGGGATGCATTAGTCATATGTCAGCAGATTATTTATAACACACCCACATTGGTAATACAGCATCAACAAGAAGCCCCTGGGAGTCCCAACAGTGACATCATACCTTGTTGGCACGTAAATGAAAACCCTTTGTAGTTTTCAGCCAGTGTGCTAATTTAATACACTGGGACTTGAAGCTTTTGTAGAGGAGACCAAAGAAATCTACGTTTGGCATCAAAACCTATCATTAGACTGTTAGGATGAGACGATCCCTGAACAGATCATCGCACACCACAACAAGCCTTTTCACTTTGCGCTCCGTCTTTATTTGCACGCACAGCTCTTCCGTAGACGTGCATAATATTGTTTTGTTACTCTAAAGTGATACAACTGCTAAGGATTCAGAGTTAGACTCTTACCTTCCATACATCTGATCTGAGGAGTTCATTTTGCCATGTTTGTTTTTTTAAACTTGTTTTTTTCCACATTGACAGTAAGGACAAAGAAATAGTACCATTAAAAAAAACAACAACATACAATATCTTGCCCCGTTTATTATTGTAGCTAATGATAAGGAAATCTATAGAAGTCAAAGCGAGCAGTATGTTGATTGTGAATATCTGCTGCACAGTTGGCCTCTTGATAATCAGATGTAAATCAGCACATTTGCTGCTCAAGTACACGCAAAGAAAAATCTAAACAAGCTTTAATGAATTTGGCCTTTTATTAATGTTTTTTAAATTGGGTCTGGATAGCGTGCATTTTTGTCCTTGAAATAACATTTAAACAGGCATTTTCAAGCACATTGGATTGATAAATGCATTCAAGCAAGTGAGTTCCAGAGTAGTTGGGATCCATCAAAACTACTGTGGTTTCTGATTCACCCAATATTATGAAGACATTTGTGTTAAAGTATTCAAGTGAATGTATGAGTTTGAATTTATAGAAAATTCATAAAATATAAATCCTAAAAAGAAATTTGAAATATTCCACTCATTTTGACCCATCTCCCCAGTTCATTTTGGCCGAACATCTTCCAGTGTGCACAGTAATACAACATTTTCCTTTTTTCTTTTTTTTTCTGGCTCTGCTTTATATAAATATTGTGTATTTATGTGCGGCATCCTATCATTTATCTACTTTTTTCTCCATTCAATGTACATTTCTTATATTCCCCGTGTTAGGCCATCATCAACAGCACCATCACCCCCAACATGACCTTCACCAAAACGTCCCAGAAGTTCGGGCAGTGGGCGGACAGCCGGGCCAACACGGTCTACGGCCTGGGCTTCTCCACTGAGCAGCAGCTGCACCAGGTAGATGCCGCTCACACTCCTCAGCAGCATTTTTAATAAAATACTTCAAAGAGTTTTACTTTAATTATATATTAGAGGGGAACGGTTGCGTTTGGAGATGGAGACTACAATCATATATTGATCAAGACTCCTTTTTCAATGTATATTAACACATCTTTTATTCTGTCAGTGTATAATGCAGCTGGTCTAAACATACACAACATTTCTCCATTGTCTTCGTCTCACTATGAGCCAAGTTTACATAAACTTCCACTATATCTACTATAATTGAATTTTTCCTCAAGATTTTATTTTTGTGAGAAAACATGACCTTAGGAGATCATGTTTCTCCCACAATTTGCAAAATATGCTTAAAACGTATTTATTGAAATTCCAGATAAAGAACGTTAAAGGTGGGTTAGGTAATTTTGGAGAAACCAGCTCGAGTGCGATAGAATTTGAAAATACACAGCTGGAAAAAATCTGCCACTTCCTGACAGAGCCCCTCCTCCAACACACACGAACGTGCACATGACCAATGAGGGCACGAGATAAGTTTGTGCACAGATGGAAAGCTGACAGGCAGGTAGGCCATCCAGTTATTTTAGCCGGGCCGGCTAAAATGATTGGTCGTGCTTTTTACAGCGCCACGGCTTCCACAGATGACATTTTTGAATGGATTTTTTGTCAAAGCACTAAAGATATTCATTGCTATCGGGATGTTAAGAGCATTCCATGGAATATAACAAAAAGTGTACCTCAAGCCGGTTTCTCAAACTTACCTACCCCACCTTTTAAAGGCTCAGAGGTCACCTCCCCTCCACAATAAATTAATCAAATATTTGTATTTGTCTATAATAATGCTGCATGATCCAGAAAGAAAAGTACAACGATGATGAAAAGTTGATTTTGGTATGATGTGTATGGTTTTCAGGATATCTCAGCAAACGGAGAGTAACTTGTGTTCCCTCTCCTGCAGTTTGCAGAGCAGTTTAAGGAGGTGAAGGAGGCGGCACGTCTGGCCAGAGAGAAATCTCAAGAGAGGTTTGAACTGTCCAACCCGGCGCTCAACATTGCAGCTCCAGAGGTAAAGCACTACTCTACTCTCTTAAAGGTTTTCTCAGTTTTTGGCTGATTAGAGAATGCCCCAGGTAGAAAAAGGAATCCCAATATAGTCAAAATAACCTGAGCTACTGATCATAATCAATCAGCAAAAACAAGTGAATTACAAGGGAACATCTGCCCTGCTAATTTTATGTAATTTCAGCATCAAATTAATCCCCTTGATTAAAGCTTTTTCCATTTGCGGATCTGTAAACTTCAACCACAGATTTCACTGCAAACAGTTTTCAGTGAGAACCTAAAAATGAAATGCAAAGGCAAAGATAACATTGAAATCTGTCGACAGGGGGTTGTGGATTATCCTGTGTAATCAAGACATTTATTTTTGGAAAGACGCATTATTGGGTCACACATTATAGCTGAGATATGAAACTAAATCGGCATGTAGGATAGTTTTATTCAAACTCAAATAATTATTGGTGGTAATAAAAGTAAGATTTTCAGTGTCACAATCATATCGAGAAAATCCATACCAAGAAGGGAAATGCCACTAATAGTAAGGATGATTTTGCTGATCAGACTTAAGAGAAAACCTTTTAAACAAGTGAAAATAGTAACAGAGTTTAGTGTCTACAACCTAAAGGCCAATACAACTCAGAGGAGCAGTTATACTCCAACCAACTCAATGGCTTTGTTCCTATTTTACACATATACAGAATCACAAGGGATTAAATGTATCGCCGTCTGGCCCGGCCATTATTCTCCCATTGGTTAACTCCATTAAAGGATTTCATGCATGACAAATGGAGATGGGAAGCAGAAAGAGACGCTGAAGGTGTTTGGAGGGGCAGTAATGGCGGGGACTGAAAGAAAGAAGAATGAGGCATCAGGAGGATGGGAATGAGGGAAGATGGAGGAAGGGAGTCGAGCTGAATCATCCATAAATGAAATAAAGCTGGCTTCTGCTGAAAGGACAATGGTCAGCTTTTATCCTGCCAGTGTCGGTGATTTCTGGTGGATTGGATAACTCTAAGATTCAGTTGGAGAGGGGAAAGTTTGCCTGTAGTGGAAACTTTTAACTTGTCACCTTTCTCTCTCACAAAAGTAGCCACCCTGTGGTGACATTACAAGTACATGATAAGACACACGGTTGTATTTTTATAGTTTTTCTGATACCTATAGCATTAAAATGAACAACTAACAAACACTCTGACTGTGATTTAATTGTTCCAACATAGAGGAAAAAGGTCTCATGCTATCTTTGGGAAACTAGCAACTCCGCTAGTCGTGTTTATTAGTAAGCTGTGCCAAGTGTTAGCATTAAGAGTATTAGTATTAGCATTAAGAGAGTGTTGTTATAGTGACTGTGTAAACCAGTATTTGTGTGTGTCTGCAGTGCACTGTGTAAAGTCCAAACAAAAAGCCATTCAGCCTCATGCTGCCAAAAACGACCTGAGCTCTGAGACCCTCGGATAAGAGCTGAAGGTTTGTCTTGTTGTTTATTTAGTGAGTGCAGCAAGAAAACATTGCTTGATAGAACAAAACAGAACAGCAATAGCAAGGATGGAGAGACGCCACATATTAAACAATATTTCATCAATCTAGCTGCGTTGAATGGTAAAGTGGTATCGCATATTGTTTAATGGAGAGCATTCGACAAGAGTAATGATTTAAGGGTAGATGGCTCAAAGTTAAGTGAAATACTGAATCTCCACACTAAATTACATTACATTTTGTAAGTTCTCTTCATTTAATGATCATGTACTTTTCTTAAACAACAACCAACGCTTAGTTGAGATGGTAACAAAAAAAGGTTTGTTGACAGGGAACAGTACCTGTCCAGGCTGACAGCGAAGGGCAAACTCTGCCCGGATCCATCCCATCCACTCCAGTTACAGACAATTCCTTCTGGTCGCAGATATGGATATGGCAAATGTAATTGCCGTCAATACCAACAAAAAAAAAAGAGTA